GGGCAGCCTTGGCGGAGTCCAACTCTCACCGGAAACGAGCCCGACTTACTGCCGGCAATGCGAACCAGACTCTGACACCGGTCGTACAAGGACCTGACAATTTGGCAATAATTTGGTTTTTATTTTTTTTAAATGCATGAAGAACAATGAACCAATAAAACAAACATAATAAACTTAATAAAAACATATATTCCCATGGCATTTAGTGGTTGAAATGACAATAAATTATCTTTTAGAACAGCATGAGGTTTACGAGGGGGTCCCTGGAATTTCTTCGCCCTTGTAAGGCAGGGTTCCTGCAAATCCTTAAAAAGTCTTAAAAGTCATTGAATTCATCAATCCAAAAATAAGGCCTTAAGTAGCCTTAAAATGTCTTGAAATGTGAACGCATTGTAAGTAGGATGATTGTAATTCATCTCAAATATTAAAATAATTGGTAACATTTATTTTTTAAAATATTCACATGCAGACATTCTCCTTTGACATCACTTCCTGTTATTTCACATGCAAATATCAACAACTGTTCATCTGAGCAACGTGAAATTTGTTTTGTAATATGTTAATAATGTTGTCTTTCCAAAAATGCTTCACTTTTCTTACAAAAAATTAATGTCACAGACACTTTAAGGTTTCATCTACAGCAAATTGGGGTTAAGACCCCACTGTGGGTCTCCAGATTTTGGGTCGTTAGAGGATTTCCAGAAATTAAATTAAGTTTAAAACTGACTGCTAAGAATGTTTCTGCTAAAGTTAGATATGGATAAAAACAACTGGTCTATTAGCAATATTTGAATACTTCAACCAAAAATACTTTCATTCATGAATTTCTTTTTTTTTTTGATGGCCTCCCCCTATTGCCATCCTTTCCACACCATTATTATGATTTATTTATTTTTTATTATTTTTATTTTAATAGGTGAAAAAGAAGAAGAAAGAAAAAAGTGAAATGTAATGAGAGAGCGAAAAAGAGATCAGAAGATATGCAAAACATATGTTGAGAAAGCACAAGACAGCACACCGGACTTCTCGGCTCCACACCTACAAAACAAAGATAGCAAAACCACAGCAACGAAAATGCATAACTATGTAATTATAATGATTCATGAGTTTCTGCAAGCTTTTATTAGTTTGTCATTTGTGTTTATTATGAAATTGGTCTTAAATTTTATTTCACTTGGCATTAAAAAGTCTTAAGTTTAACTTTCCTTAAACTGTAGGAACCCTGTAAGCGGTCCCCAGTCCCAAATGGCTTGAGAACCCCTATATCCTAACCCTGACCTTTGCCCTAAAACTAACCACTCCTATCCTACCTGACCCTAAATCTAGCATAAACTTAATTCACACATTGGTCCTAAACTTGGTATTAATTTATATTTTCAGATCTTCCAAGGTGCCAGTTATGGAACTCTCTGTGCATTGTTGCCCAAATCAAATTCTGGAAGTGGTCATTCAACTAGATCTGTTACAAAAGGACAACTGATATTACCAACTTTTAAAAACTGTTACGGCCAGAGGTCTTTCTTCTATGTTTATACTAAAGCATAGGTCGAATTCAGACCTGATAATTTGCTCCTCTTTAAACGAACCAGAGTTG